CTTTCTCTCTCAGGAGAACCTTCGGCACACTCACAGTAGACTAAGACAACAGCTGGAGCAGATTTTGGCCCGACAGCAAGAGCAGCAACAGCGGGAGCAGCAGCAGCAGGAGGACGGGAGGGGAGGCGGCTTGGGGTCAAACCTCTCCCTGACCCCCCTCTGAGGACAGGTGCACGCTCTCCCCCCCCCTCTCCAAGCACCAGGGCTGTGATTTGTGAGACAGTCAGGGACGCCTTTCTAGCGTGGATGAGCTGTTCTTCCTTAGTTTCTCATGCCATGCCCCATATCATGTGAGATGGAAACACAGAAGAAGAAGAAGAAGAAGAAAAGAGAAAGTTTGATTGGACTAACGTACAGATATTGGATCAAAGGATTTTATTACTTTCTGATCTTCGAAGGGTTCAGATGTATAGAAATTTTTTTATCTGATATGATGTTTTTGTATTTTAGAAAAAGTGGGAAAAAAAATCTTGGATGGGTGACCAGCGCTGCAAGTTCGAGCAGCTGAACAAGAGGAGAAAGCAGGCGATAACTTTCCTTTTCTTCCCCACTTATATGTTTCTTCCTTAACAGGTACTGAGTTGAATCTATGGACACTTATTCTAGACTGTAGGTATCAGATAAAACACATTGTCAATTATTTAGAACCAAATTTTAGTCTTTTAAGTTGTAATTTTGGTCACTTATTTAATATTCATTATAGAATCACCTGATATGACTTATTTATTGATGTATAATATTTTGGAGTTGATTCTTGCAACTCTAAAAAGTATGCATTTTTAGGCTAGAGTATTTTTTAATGGTAGAAGATCACATCACAAGAGATGTGGTGATGCACTCTTGTTCATTTTTTGAGTTTGATCCTTCAGTTTAAATTTTCTTGCATTAACTTGGCTAAGAAAAGAAAATAGGAAGGATTTAATTACTTGGCACTGGTGAAAAGAAAATTCTTGATTTTTATCATATGAATATCTGTAACTTATTTTATTGAGGTTTTATATGGAGCAGGAATATATTCTGTGATAAAGAAGGTAATACAAAAGACATTTTAACAATGATATGTATGGATGTTCTGCATTTTTAATTTTATTATGTGCTATGAGTGAAACGGAGCTTTTTAAAAGCTAGTCAAACCATAATCGAGAAGTGTAGGAAATTGTAGGGATTTTGTACATTATAATTAATATTATTATTATTAGTTATTATTGTTATTATTATTTTTATTATTGTTATTTTTATTATTATTATTATTATTGTTATTATTATTATTATTATTATTATTATTATATTATCATCAGTGTTTTTTATATTACCGTTAATTATTTTTACTGCAACTACTATTAATGGCATTTTTGTTACAGTTTTTACTATCACTCCTATTACTGATATCTTTCAATGTTATCACTAGCATTTTTATCATTTTAAGTAATAAAAAACGAAAGCAGAACGTATCCAGCAATGGAGCATATCATAGATTTCGCTGAATAGCACAAGTTCCAAGTACCAGACTGTCAGAAAGATGCAGGAAGCATTGTATGAAAAATAATTATATATTTATTTATGATCTGTTGTGAATTAGCCAGTAGGCATTAGTTGTCTGAAAGATCCCGAGGAAGCCATGAAGCGTGACTGGTGAGGGAGGTTCAGTTAGTGCTGCAGTAAAGTGTAAAAGCAGCAAGTGTGTATGTGCCTTTGAATGTGTTCATCTTCGTTATATAATCTCTTGAAGTAGCTTAGAGGGAGAGTACTGTACTTCTAAGCTGCTCTACAGGTGTTTTAGAAGTGATAGTGTACTTGTCAGCTTTGAAGTGTTTTGATCTTTTTATTGTAATATATGTAAATATAGATATGTATTTTATATGACTATTGAAAGAAAGATATTTACAGCCTTGCTTTTTATTTTCCTTTTCATCATAGAAGGCACTGACTCCCATATCCTTTGATTGTGGTTTAATGGTTATACTAAATATAAAGTGCATAGTGTTGCTTAAGATGGCAATCTTAGAAAATGTATAATGATGGTTAGCATTATACATGTTCAGGCATCATTGAAAATGCATTGGCATTATGAGTGAAACTGCAAAGAATTGAAAAAATTATAATATGATGACAAGGAAACACCATTTACAAATGGTTATGTGGAATGCAAGTGTAAACATTTCATTAAAGTATTTCTTAAGGCTTTTTTCTAAACAGATGCATGTTATCCTTTCACAAATTTATTAAATTCATGGAAAAAAATATATGCCAATTGTGCAAAATCTCATATTTAAAATGAGACATTATAGAAAGTTGAATTTTTACGTAAAATCCTATGAAGAATTCTAGAATATCATACTGAACTGTAGTAAATGTAATTCCATGACAAAACATTTGCATTCTTCACAGACGGATGCAATGCTATGCATTGGCATATACTGGCCTCGATTCATAGATGAACACTAAGTTGAGTTAATTCAACATCTATGCGCCCAATTCCTTGCCCGTTGTTGCCTTGGGGTGAGCTTAGGAGACCGACTAGGAACCAATACAGGGGATCACCCTGCATTATGCCCCATCCCTCCACTCAGTCTTTTCTTATTTCCTTTTCAGTGTCTTTCTTTTCTCCTACCCCTTGTATCCACTACTCAAGGTGTGAGAGCGGTGCTGAAAGGATGAAAGGCTGACTTTGTGCCAGTCATGAGCAGGCTGAGGGAGCCATGGGCACGGTATTCCCATGCTTAGTTGTCTAGCCCTTACCCTTCAATGGGACCCTGAGAGGGTTGACTTTCTCTCCCCAACATACTCAAGGCTTACCATGGCCAGTAATGAAGACCTGGCACCCTTGTTAGGAGCACTGAGGCTTCCCTCTTTATCAACTATCCCCACAGATGTAAATTCGCCCATTCCCCCAACTCCAGGTTCTCCTTCGACCACGATGCTGAACACTACTACTATTGCCTACTCTTCAATGAGTACTAATACCACAGTCCAGTCCAGATCTTCCATCCAGGTAATTCCTTAACTTCCAGAAAATGTTCCTCCTCACCCACCATTCTCTTCTTCATCCCCTCCTCCCTTATTACTATTCTGCAGCCTTATTGTCCAACTCTCGGCATTTTATTTGATATTGTTATTACCACTATCTCTCTCTTATTTCCTTTTTCTTTTGTAATATCGACTAGTACTTTATACCTAACTTGTCATTTGTCATTAACCTTATCACATTTGAATCAGATGTGGAATTCAAATAAACTATAATTTTTTTTATAGGTATTACTGTCACGCCTGCTTTTATTACCGGGTTTGATTTTTATATTTCTTATTAGCAATCTGTCATTACCCGTGCTTTGTTCTCTTTATAATGAGAGTAACTCGGTCACACACACACACACATCAAAATAAGAAATAAAAAAAGGAATCTGGACCTTCTTAGTTTAAATCATCTTTAATGCTATAACCAATAATATTGATATTATCAACGATGAAAATGGTGATAACAATTATTACTAATGACCTTATTATCTTCCTATCACCTACCATTATTGCTTTAATAGCTTAATATTTTTTCCATACAATTATCTTTACTTATAATAGCTACTGTGATAATTTCACATATTATCTCTTATTATTTTTGTAATAATTTTGTTCACCATGCAATACATTAATCGATATAAGTATAAGATATAAAACTAACAGACAATAACATATATAACAGACAAGCACAGATATACCAGTATACAACTGTGACAGATAAATATATTCATCAACATTAATTATCAATTTGTGTTCATGCTTCCCGTCTTAACTACTTTTGTGTTTCTACAACAGACGAAGAATAATATTAGCTCAGCAACAAGAATTTAAGAATATTGTAAGACATTATTGCAATCTCCCCCACCCCCTTGCACGTTGTTCCCATGTGTGTGTGGGGGGCGTGGGGGGGGGGGTAGCAGGCGGAGACGGGGGCCATTGTAGGGATCACCCCTACCTTGGACTCCACTAATTGCCTCAACTAATTTTGCAGGGTCTCTTCGTCTCCCTCTTTCCTTTTCCCTCTCTTCTTCATCCCCCTCTGTCCACTTATATAAAATCGTTAACTCATATTTATTTTACGATAATGTTGTGCAATCTTTAATGTCTGGTACATTTGTTTGTTTGGACCATTCTAGAAATCCACAAACTTCGCCTTATTGAATTAAAAATCTTTGATACATTGATAAACCTTCCATTTTTTTTCCGCTGTAACGTTTGCGTTTTTAGAAGAAGATTTAGTGGGATTTTTTTTTTTTTTTTTTTTTTTTTTTTTTTTTTTTTTTTTTTTTTTTTTTTTTTTTTTTAGGAACTATATTCAACAATTCATTAGTTCTTGTTTGCTTTTAGTGAAAACGTTACATTTTTGGCCACCTATCTAAATATTCAAAAAGGTTTCTGTGGAAATATAAGTGGCAATACTGCTACCTTAACTCGCTTTAGTGAGGTTGATAATTTCATATTACTCTTCTATCATTTGTTCAATATATTCATATAATTATAATAATTATGATTGCCGTTATACACGTTCTTTTTATATAGTCTACATAAATTAACATGAACATATAAGATACATTATAGAACTTAAAAATTATAGGGATTCATCGCAACGTAAAGTTGTAAGGATAAGTCCGATATGCGAAGCTGAGCCTCGCCCGGGCTATGGGGGAGCCCGGCCTGTGCCGACTAATGTCGACTCGCTAACAGTGTCAGCAGGTGCTGACTCGGATGAGCTTAGTCCTTACCCGCCGTGGTGCCCAGCCACAGCAGGAACCTCCAGGCGACAATTGCAACTTCTCGCGCCTGGGCGGGGCGCGAACCGCCGACCCCTCGGATGAGAGGCCGACACGTTACCACTGTACTAGCCCGGAAGTTGTAGTTGTAATTTGTATTTTTTTTTTTTTTTTTATATATTAAAAAGGACTGATGACAACGTTCCTCCCATTTTTTCAGATTGTCGAGTATCTTATAATTATATAATATTTCGA